GTTGTTTAAAATTTATTATCACTTCACTTAAAAGGTATTATGATAATTTTTTAAAATCTCAATTAAATTATTAATATTTGTATTTACAATTATACAAATATCTTAATATATGATTTTAAACAAAACACTGAACCCGCTTGAACCCGGGTTCATAAAAATTCCTTGGTTCGGTTCGGGGTTGTAAAAATTTTATAAATGGGGTTTAGGTTCGGGTTCAGATTTTTTTATCAAAAACCCGGGTTTACTTATCCGGGTTCAGGTTCGTTCAAATCCCTGCTAGTCAATCGATATAACACAGCTGCTTCACTGTGAAGATTGGGAATGAACCGTTCATGATACGTGACAAGCCCAAGAAATGAACGTAATTGATGGACATTCTTTAGGTGCGGCCTGGATTGCTTTAACTTTCTCTTCGCTTGGATGTACCCCATTTTGGTCGATAACGATACCTAAAAACGAAACAGATTTCCGTAGAAATTGGACTTTTTCAAATTTAGCTATGAGGCCTGCTTCCTGCAGCCTATCGAGTACTATTTTTAAACTAGCCAGATGTTCGGCGTTATTTTTGCCGGAGATATTTACATCGTCCAAATACACTCCAGTCATCGGGCAATCTTTCAAAACATTGTCCATGTAACGCTGGAAAATAGTTGGTGCGCACGAAACCCAAACGGCATCCTTCGGTATCGAAAATATCCTTTATGTGTTGAGATGACCAAATATTCTTGGAACTCTGGCTCAACGGCCATTTGTAGATACGCGTCCTTTAAATCTTTCACCGTAAAACGGTTTCCCTTCTGAATCTGAACCAATAAGTCATCCAGCGTAGGAATAACGTGATGATCATATAATAGATAAAGATATAAACTCACCTTGAAATCTGCGCAAATACGAATCTCGCCATTGTTTTTCCTGAAATTTACTATTGGGGTTGCCCATGGCACCCTAGTTATAAAGGAATCGATGGGCTCCACAATCTTCGCAGCCACAAGGCGATCCAGTTCTAGTTCAACCGCTCTGCGTAACGGAAATGGCACTCGAAGAGCTGGAAACTATTTTGGAACAGCCGAATCTTTTAATTGGAGTGGCACCGCTACGTATCAACCCCGGTTTGCCCTCAAAAACAGCTTTAAACTGTTTAGCTAACAAATGCCCCATTGAGTCTTCCGTTAGTTACATCCTCGATCCGTGTGAGCATCGATTGTATTCGAACGGCCCATCGGAGCTTCGGCCCGCGGGGGCACCGATTGTATTCGAGTGGGCCATCGGGGCATCGTTGGTTTGGTGGCAACTTGATGTTATTGTTTTTCTATTCGTTTTGAAAACCTGTTGTATGCTTACCTGTCTCGGTAACTCAAACCCAAATGCTAAAATCCATGGCAACCCAAACAGAGGTAGGTTTATTATAATAACATTAATTGAATCACTTGGGTAAAAATGTGGTTTCACTGAGTTTAAATTGCGATATAAAGGCTTACTACGGCAACATGCTGCGAAATGTCCGGTTCTTTGGCACTTAAAACATGTTTTGTCTTTAGCTGGGTAAATATCTTTCATGCCAGCCGGCATAATTCTTACATTTATTGTCGTAAAACTTGTTATTAGGCTTCCTATAATTATTGTCTCTCTTAACACACTCTTGTGAATTAGGCATTATGTTTGCAATCTTGCGGTCTGACACTATTTACCAAGTCTTTATTGATAACCATTTCGTTTTGAGCATTCTGTTGCCGTTGGCATATCTAGCACGAACTGGAAAATCAGGGGCTTTTTGTTCACATCTAATGCTAAAGGATATTTAGTCCTAAGTTCAACTTCGAGACCTGGTAGATCTATACCCGAAACTAATTGATCTCTTAACCGGCCGTCAACTTCTGACGGCGTAAAACAACACGCTTTCGCAGTTATTTTGATTCTATTAGCGAACTCTTCAATTGGTTCATTCTCATTCCTAATTAACCTTATGAAGTCTAATCTACTACCGAAAATGGTTTTATTCTTCTCAAAAATATGTAGCGAGACATTCCTTATCTTATCCAATTTAGTCGTTAGAATGGTTTCAGGAAATAAATATTGTTCGAGAATGTCAATGCCCTCGGCGCCAAAACTCACCATGAACAGGTCCTTATTTTCTTGATCGGTCAGTGTCCAGTTCTTTAGTCTTAACGTTGAGTCCCAAAATTGGAACCAACGTTGTATAGACCCATTAATTTGATATTTTTCAAACTTATCAATTATACTAGTATTTTTGGACTGAGGCATAATTTATAAAATTAATAACTATTTTCTTACTTGTTTTAATTAGAATATTAGAATCCTCATCGTCGCCACTTTAACGAAGGTAGAACCATTATTTACATTTATTTATTTCTATAATTCATTCACAATAAGTATTGGTTTTCATTGACATTTTATTCAATATAATTTAACCATAAGGTGCAACTTAATTACAAATGGCGATATATAATATCACGTTAATGGATGGGTGTGTACATAATACATTAGGAAGTTAAACAACACCTATTATGTTAATCGTAAATATATATATAATCATATCTAACTGGCAAATATAATATATAATATGATAAAATATTACAATAGATTACTTCTTTACTACAATAATGCTGCCCTTTTTTGGTATTTTTTATAACGTTGCTGGTTCAGGGGCGTGGCTAGCCTTTACACTCTCAGGAAGCTCAGCTAAAAAAAATTATAGGGGTTTCGCCCCTCACATCCCCTAATTTGCGGGTCTTCGGTTAACTTTTGCCTGGCTTTCGGCTGGTTCTATATTAATATACTATACATTTTTTTAAATTTGATAACTCTGAACAATTATTCTGAATTTCACATTTTGTCATTTATTATATTGTGCATACAAAATAAGCTAGAATATAAATAATGAAAATAATACAAGACCTTTAAAAAATAAAATTTTAATACAAAATCTATTGGTCTGTTTTAATTTTATGAAAATGATTATTAAATAAGTATATAAAAAAATATAAAAAAATTATTATGGCAATCAAAAATCTGTTATATATTTTATTTATTATAAAAATGCACATTAGATTTTATCAATATATAGGTAAATATAAATATTAAATACTATGTATAATATACACAATATAAAAATAACTGCATTATGTACACAGATAAAATTTGCATTTAATAGTTATGCAGTATTAATATAAAAAAATGATTCTCAGAGAAATAAAGATTGTTCCTTCTATTAAAACTCTTGATTTAGATGTCATTGATTGATTTGGATATATTTAATTGGAGATTGTTATATAGGTTATATAAATTATAAACTGCAGATATATTCAATAACTTTATGGAACATGGGAAGGCCCAATTTTAAATTATTAAGGCTTGTTAATCAATCCTTTTAAAAGGAAAAAATCACGGAAAACATATGCTTTATGCGAAATTAAATAATATGAAAATTGATTAAATTTAGTGTACATTTATTTAATTAGAATAATATAACAATAAATATTCAATTATAATCAATATTAACCTTTTTTTTAAATTACTCATTAAAAACTAGGTTAACTAAACAAGCGCTCCCAGTAATAAGAAAATTTTTTTAAAGTGATTCATCTTTTGAATAAAAAATTTTTTTAAGGGACAACACATTTTAAGAAGTACTTTTTCTAAAGAAAGCATCTATTTTATGTGTACAGTCATTAGAATATGCATCAGCATTTACCATATGCATCTGCATTTGGTTGATCTTGCGGGTTTTCAATAGTGTTATGTTCCCAATTTGAGTCAAATTTGTAGAAAGGTCCGTTTATAATTTTAGCCAAAATAATATCAAGCTGCTTGATTTGGCAAATAGAGGTTCAAACCTTTCTGCCATCCACGAAAAAAATCTATTACATATATTTTGTTAAGCTTTCTTTTATCAATAGATTTTGTTGTAGATTAATATAAGGCTAATTAACCTTAAATGTTGGGTAAATTATTACTGCTAATATTCTACTGTTTTCTTTAAGTTAAGGAAATATATATTAAGAATTGATAATTAACATTAATATATAAAGCTGAGGAAAAGGTTCTCATTTATATCTGTCACCTCAATAATTGTATGTGCATTATTTTCTACTATAATTGGCATTAGTAAATACTAAAAATAATATATTATATGTCGTAGTTTTATAGATAAATTTATATTAATTGTTGTATAATGCCAAAACCAAAATATATTAGGTTTATTGGATTATAATTATCATAATAGAACACGTGATATATTTTTTTATTGTGTGGGAAAATAATTGTAAAAAAATTATCATTAAAAAATTATGAGATTTTTATCATTTTATCATTTAATTTTTTATTAATAAAATATATGACTTGTGCTTTACTAAATTCTAGCTCCTAAAGGAACAGTTAAATTGTCAGTTAAGTTTTGGAAAGGTAGAGAGGATTTTTGTTAGTTATTATTTATTTTTCATTATATTTTTAATTTAATAAATAAAATTGTAAATCTAATTTGTAAATGTTGTCTTGATAAAATTTGTGAGGAAAATATTCAAATATGACGAAGGAAGCCAAAATATGTGTAAAAAAATTTGTTTTAAAAAATCATATTTTAATTTTATTAAAATTTTTATTTTTATTTTTAAATTTTTAATTTTAAGTAAGAAATAATTTTTTAAAGGGATCGATGGATTATTATAAACAAATTGATCTTAACAAGATCCTTAATTTAAGAGAAAAAACAAGTCTGAGTACCATAAATAAGATCAAATTAAGACTTTTGATTGCGAACCTACTCGGCACATTTTATGTTTATTGTAAATTTAATTGGTTTGCAATAATGAGCAAATAATTTTTGGCTATGTTTCTATTGAATAAATTGAAAGCTTAGGTTTTATCATGTTGAAATTATTTAAAAAAGCATATCATTTAGGAAATATTAATAATTTTTTGTTGATCGCATCCTCTGGTTTAAATAGAGTTTATATTGGGGGTTCATCTTCTCGAAAATTAATATTTTGGAATAAATTTACACCTATCCTTTTCTCACAATCCATATGTTTTGAAAAAAATCTACCTCGATGGTACAGAATATAGATGTAAAATATAATAATAATTTTAATATTTTATTCAGTATAAACTTAAACCTTCTCAAAAAGACAAGGTAAAGCAATTCATATCATTTACACAAACCAATGAAAAAATAGCTCTTGCCACTTTGTTGCAAAATGATTGGAAATTGGAAATAGCTATCGATAGCTTCTTTCAAAATCCACTACAATATCAACCAAAAGATTACAAAAATACAACAGACAAGAAGAAAATTGAACAATTGTTTATTAAATATAAAGGTATAATATTTGTCTTATAAAATTGTAATTTGTTTTTGAAAGATAATCATGAAAATAAAATTGGTCCAGATGGGGTGGTCAAATTGTTGGATGACTTACGATTAACTCCTGATAATGTTTTAGTTCTCATAATGGCTTGGAAATTTCAAGCTGCAACTCAATGTGAATTTTCCAAAGAAGAGTTCACCCATGGGATGTTTAATATAGGGTATGCACAATATAAACTTTATATAATTATATATGTTTCAAATGCACACTTTATTTTAAAAGGTGGGATATTAACACATTAATTTTAATTTTGAAATTCAAATTTTAACTATATTATGTCTTTTGTTACCATGTAAAGAAGTTGTTTTGCTTATTTATTTATCTCTAAAATTAAATAATTAGTATAAACATTAGCTATTATCAATTAATTATATTTTTATAAGCTTATTTGCATTAATTATAGTTGTGATGCCCTTGAAAAATTAAAATCCAAGCTCTTTACAATTGAAATAGATCTTTATAAAGATATCTGTGATTTTAGAGACTTTTATCAATTTACCTTTAATTATGCCAAAAGTCCTGGACAAAGGAGCCTAGGTTATAATGAAATTATTCTGATAAATTTGATACTCAATGTCAATCTTTAAAATTACTTAAATATAAATGGTGATCTAATATAATGCAGGATCTCTATAATATGTGATTGTTTAATAGAGGATTCTTAATTTACACTTTCTTATTTTAGTCACTCCCATTTTTATTGATTCTAAATATATAATAATTGTCAACAAAATTAACATGGAACATCCATATAATAATTTGCCATAGTTCATTTTTAAATGATACACATTTTTTTAAAAGTACGACAAAAGTGTCACAGTTTTTAACAGGGTTGTGCATTTGACCGGTCAAATACAATTCGGTCAATTGACCGATATTTGACCGGTCAAATACGGTCAAATATGGTCAAATTCAAATAAATGTTTTTTACACCAATATTAACTTTATTTTGCATTTATATAATATTATAATAAATCTATGTATATAATAATAAATATCATAATATTTTTTAATTCATTCTATAGTCAATGTTTCACCCTCCGTGGCAGAGTCTTGTTCCGATTCATATTCAATATCATTATTTTCTTTAATATTTTTAATCAATCTTAAATATGATACACTCTTACTAATTTTCCTGCTGTAGAAGCCTTTAATCTATTTCTGTTTTTCGTGTGAATATTGCCCCAAACCGACCAATTTCTTTCAGAAGAATAAGTCGAACTAGGAAATGTTAGTAAAATATTAGCGACTTCTCTTAATGGGCAAGGTGGGCAAAATGCATTCCACCAACTTGAGGCCGAAATTTGATTGTTTCTTATGGAAGTTACAACTTTCCACATATTATGGCTATTAAATATACCGCTTTTGCTTCTGAAATTTACTATATTACTCAAAATATTTTGATTATCACCACCTTGTAAAATACCCAATTCTTGTATTATATTACATGCTTCATCAAATTCAGTATTAGTAAGATGCTCCCCTTGATATTGGGGGTCCAATAAATAAGCAGCATTGTGAGCACATGTATTTATATCAGTTTTTCTCTTTTCAAACATAACCTTAATTTTTTTTTCTTGAGATGGAGAAAATATAGAATCATGGCATGATTGTATTATGTGTTTTTCCAAATTAAGCATCTCGTTTTTCACTTGGGCCAAAGTACATTTATCCCCTTGCACTTTCAACAATGAGGTAGCTAAAGGTTGGAGTATAGCTAAAAATTTTAAATTTTTCGTCCAAAATTCTTCGTTTAATATATTATTGGTAATTTCTATGGGACAATTATCACAAACAGCTTCTTCAACAACTGATGCTTTTAGAGCTTTCTTGCATATTTGAATTTGCTCCATTTTATTGACGATGCCCATCTTGTTTGGCTAATTGTACTTAATGTAGATGGTATGCCCTGAAGATTCTTATTACGGGAAAATACTGCAGCTGGTATGTGTTTATTCTTGAAAAATTTAACAATTTTTTTAATTATTGAAATATGGTCACTGAAGGCGTCCAATCGTTCAAAATCGTGAAAGAATAACTGCAATGTATGCGCTGCACAACCATAACATTGTATATGATTATAAATAGATTCAGATTTTAGAATTCTCCAGGCTGCTTTCATGTTAGCGGCATTATCAGTAACTAAAGAATATACTTTTACCGGATTCAATTCATGAATTACATTTTTAAATTCCTGGGCAATATAATCTGCCGTATGGCGATTTTCCTCAGTATTTAGAAATTTGTAGAACACTGGAACAGGCGTCATCACCATAAAATTAATAATACTCTCGTTTCTAATGTTGCTCCAGCCATCTGATACAATTGATAAGTAAGGAGCTTTATCTATTATATCTGCAACTCTCACCTCCATATCACCTGACGCTTTGTCTAGAAGATATCCAGCCAGCTGCCTTCTCCTGGGTAATGTGTAAATAGGACGTATTTTTTTAGAAAATTCTTGGATGTAGGGATTTTCAGTGATGTGGAAAGGTAAATTGCTCGCATATACAGCCTTTGCAAACAATTGATCCAGCTCATTTTTTTCTTTGGGATTAATTCTATCTATGAAACCGGTTATACAAGATTGAGATTTATATTTAATCGCCTTGCTTGTAGATTGATTAGAAATAAGGGAATCAAATTCTCCTGAGTCACAAGACAAAATATTGTTCATTTGATAATCATTCTCACTAATTTCACCCAATTCTTCATTAGAGTTAGACTTAGAAGTATTACAAATTACATTTGTGATATTTTTTGTAGAGGTTGATATTTTGGAATTTGAATAAAATTTTTCCTTAATTATAACAGGGCACATAGTACAGCTGCTTAATAAATGTTTGACCATTCTATCAACGTGGGTGATATAGGACATCTTGTAAAACTTGCACACCGCTTTAACTGATTTACCATCGCGTACTTCTTGAAAATGTTTCCAAACATGATGCTTTGGTTTGACCATAATCCCTAATATATTAAAATTTAACAAAAAATGATTTTGATTATTGTAAAGTTAATCAATCTTAACTATTTTATAATTATCGACCAATTATTCCAATAATTTCTTAATATTATAAATATAATATAATAAACTTTTTACCAGAATTGAATAATATTCCGTAAATCTGACCAGAACAATTAAAATGAAAATTAATTTTAAAAACCAAATATAGCAAGTGTAAGTAAAACAAATGAGAATTAATATAATTTATACTCGGCTAAATATTAAATAAAATTTAAATTTATTAAAAAATAAGAATGAAAAAATTATATTATGATTATAATAAATCGGGTATTTTTATTTTTTTTAAGAAAAATGAATTGAAAAAAATCAAGAAGGTGAGAAACGGCAATGATTAGGCAAAAAAATAACTAAAAATATTACTATATTTAGAAAAATTACATATTTATATTTTAATAAAAAAATAATAAGATTGATAAACATGCTTTTAATGCATACTAGTTAATTATATCAAAATATTTATTCGCCATTAATATTTTAGAGTATTTGACCGTATTTGACCAGTCAAATACTCCTCCGGTCAATTGACCGACATGCCAACCCTGGTTTTTAATATTTCAAAATACATTTCTTTTCTGCTCCTAGATCTGTTTTGGTTCCAAGGGCCTTAATTTTTTTCAGCCCAACCTGGCTTAAAATTTTTATTAGTTTTATTCCCAACTTGGCCCATTTTTTAAATTTATTTGTAGTAGTGCTGTAAACATTTTTAAAAATCGAAAGTGTTCAACATTCATTGGCAAAAATTGAACGCGTTCACTTTCAAAAAAAAGGAACGCGTTCACGTTCATGAATGCGTACACGTTCGTTCAAAATTTAATGATAAATTTTTTTTTAAATTTAATTTATTAAAAATAAATGTCTTATATTTTTTAACACAATATTTTAGCCATGTTAAAAAATAATATAGTTTTATTTAGATAATATAATTATAAATGCAATATAATATAGCTAATAAAAAGTTAATTTTATTTATAAAAAATTCTTCTTATTAATTTTTAACAATTATTTTTCAAAGGAACTCTTGGCAGTTAATACAGCATTATCTGTACTAAAAATGCGCTCTACAGGCCACACTCTGACAGCATTTCGCATAGAGCTTCATGAATAACATTATCAAAAGCTGTACTAAAATCCACAAATGTGAAGTAGGAGGGTATTTGTTTGTATTTGCAACATTTCTGAATAATTGGGTTAATATTGGCTCTAGCATATATATTTGGGGAAAATATGAAGTGTGGATGATATAATTTTATTTTTTAAGAGGACCATAGAAATCTTTGAGACAGGATGTGAGGGCCACGGTTTGGTAATAATTAAATTTTTGTGGTCTTTGATTTTAGGGAAATTACATAGGAAGGATTTGTTCCATTCCACTAAAGTATTTCCATTCTCCCATATTTTATTGAAGAGGGCTAGTAGGAAGGAAGATATTGTCATAGATGCGATTTTAGTTATTCAGCTGTGATATTATCCAACCCCGGAGCTCTGTTTTTTCGTTTTCACTACATGGGACGAGGTTTGTTGGTAGAGTTACTTTCCTTGAGTCAAAATCATATAATAATCAAGCCATAATGCCATTTGTTCATCCTGGTCAATGAATGCTTTTCCGTTTTCTAAAACTATAGAGGGGGTTTAAAACTGCAAATTTTACAAAAATATTTTAATTTATATAGGCGTCATAAATCCTATTTTCTTTCATATCTTTATCGATATCAATGGCTTTTTTTGATAAGTATATCCGTCTATCACTCCGCAATAATCTCTGTATGTTTTTCCATAAGTCAATATTCGAGCCATTCTTCATTCTTAGTTGATTTATTTTTTCTAATGTCTCACTAGACATCCATTCTTTCCTTGAAAAAAGACTTACATTTAACAAACCATCATATTATTCTGCAAGATCATTTTAAAATAGTTTCCAGCATTCTTCTACGTTTCCGTGCATAGTTATGCTTAAGAAGTTGGCTCTTTTCCTATTTAATGCTTTATCAAAAATTATTACATCTTCCGGCGTTTGTAATTTACTGAATTTGCGTGTAAAGTTATCAAATGGATTATACTAGCTCCAGTCGAGTTTTGTCTAATTCTGTTATAATAGCCCCATATATTTTTTACGGTAATATCAGCTATAAGTATTCCGACAGGTTTATATTAGACTTTAACGCCTTCAAACCACTCGTAAATATTAGAGATGAAGAAATCAATTTGGGATTTCTGCCGAGCTATCATGAAGGTGTACGTGTTTATTTCTCGGTGTCAAAAAAGATATTTTACATTTTAAAGTTCTTGTTTCTGCAGAAATCAAGAATTTTCTTGCTATTCTCGCTATTCGGTTGTTGTATAGTAGCATACCCGATGACATTAGTGCTAACATATTCTACTTCTTTACCAATTTTCAGATTTAGATAGCCTAGAAATATTATATTATATCTGCACGGTAGAGAGTGGATCGTATTTATGATTATGTCGATGAAGCCTAATTTTTCATTTCTAATTGGTGGGGCATTGAAATTTGCTATTATTATGGGCCTAAAATTTGTGTTTAAATGGAGAAGACCATCTTTCAGATATGGGTACGAATTTGATGAATTTATTTATTCGTTTATTTATTAGGAATGCTATCCCAGACCAGCTTTTAGAGGTGGTACTCGAGCAAAATATTTTATAATCAATAATGTTTGTGTTATTCCCTGGGCAGTGGGTTTTTTGATTACCTATAATGTTTACTTTCACCACTTCAAGTAGCCTTAAGAGATCCGCTAGTTTGTTGGTCATTCCATTTATATTAAGGAACGCAATTTGTAACTTGCCTGTGAATTTGTTCTCCATTTGGTTATACTAACTTGAATCCAAGAAGATTTTATAAAGATCCAGGTAAAGTTAGGAAGAATTTTATTTGGTTTAGATTAAAGATTTGAAAAAAAGTTATAGTAAAGGAAAATTTAATTTAAATGAATTCAGCTCTTATCAGTTAAAAAATTGAAATATAAAAGAGGAAAAATAGTTAATTAAAAAATATAGGACTTTTTTCTTAAAAAATTCAGATTAATATTAAATTTTTCAAATAAATAAAAATAAAAAGTGTTTTTAAAATTGAATGAACGTTAAATTTGAACGCGTTCGTCAAAAAAAAAGGAACGCATTTACGTTCAAAGTTCTTAAAAATAAAAAGAACGGCGTTCATATTTTTTTTCAAAAAAAACGAACTTCATTCACGAACGCGCTCAAAACGAACTTCGTTCACGAACGCGCTTAAAACGAACTTTGTTCACGAACGCTCTCAAAATAAACGCGTTCGTTTACAACATTAATTTTTAGACATGGGCCCAAAATTTTAATATGAAAAATATAAATTAAACCCATTTTATGAATTTAGATTTAATAAAAATATCTATTTGTTGTGTACCCAGATAAATTCCTTGGCCAAATTTTAAAAAAAACCTAAGCCCAAGCCTGAGAAATTTTTTTTTACTTTCTAGACCTGACTTTAGGTCAACTTCGCTCTAGCCTCTCTTCCAAACTCTTTTAGTAACACGAAAACAAATTTAAATACTAAATATACAATATAAAAAATGAATTACAAAATAGGTTAATCTTTTTATTTAAATAAATACATATAATTATTGTTATTTTTTTAGAACTCAGGTTCTTAAAAACTGATTATAGTTCCTAAATATTTTAAATACAGATTTTTAAATTTGTCTCTATTCTGAGGGTTTTTTATTCTAAATTCTGATTGTTACATATACCTTAAAATATATATTCATTTTTTTAAAAAATAAAAGATTTAGATATGGGCATTGCATATTGGAATATGGTTCTGGTAAAAAGATTCAAATTTTTAGATCTATGGTGTCAATTTTTATTAGTAAATTTAATATTTTAATTACATCCTTTGTTACATTTCTTAGCAAAGCATTTTATAATATTATTTAAAAATAAATTATAACCATTATTCATTTTATTAGAGGTATCTCAAATTTAAGTATACTTTATAAACAGGTATTGAAAAAGTATTTTCTTATTCAAAAAATATAGCTTGACATATATAATTTTTTGTATTCTTATTTCAAATAAAAGTTAAAAAATATTCTTAAAATTTCCTAGGAACATCATAAGAAATCGATATCCCGAGACACCTGGAATCTCTTGTTAGATTTTTCTCAGTCAATATCAGATGATATGAGTAATTACGACCAGGAAGGTTAAATTTAATTTTTTTCTCCTCAAAATCTCTTCTCTTAAAATTGTTTGAAAATAATTAAATACATTCTTTAACACTAGAAGGTACCAAAATTTTACTTTACCTAAAACTGTCACCTATTTGTAAATTTTATTAATTATATATATTTTTTAATTTTTATTTACAAAAGAATTTTATTGAAAAAAAAAATTGATATTCAATATATTTCGAAAATATCTATTAGGTTTCCTGATATTATGGACATTAACATCACCTTTTATCTCTCATTCTCCACATAGGTTTTTAACATTTGCAATAGTAGGACTCGGACTATGCCGATCCAGATATTTTTCACCGATCCGATCTTATATTCGTTTAGACCCGATCCGATGTTAATTTTTCTTAACATTTCACCCTTGAACCAAATATAATTTTAAAAAGATATTTTCTGTCTAAATAATCGAATTATGCATTTTATTTTTACAATTAAGATTAAAATTTAAAAAAAACACTAATTAGATTATAATAATATCAATGCATTTTATTTTGAACAGTATATATATATATATGTTGGTATGAATTAGAAGTGAGCGAGGGCCTAATTTTTTATTTACGCCCACCCCCCCCCCCCCTGAAAATTCACGGTGTTATCAAATTTTTCAACATTTTATTGCTATACTTTTACTCGCTTTTGATTTATTCTATCTTAGCTTTTATTTCTCTAATTCCATATTAATACACAAAATAATTGCAATATATAAATTAATATTTTTATTTAGAATAAGAAGAATATCTATTTTTTTTATTTCAATTGTGTTCGCCTTTCCGCTAATGCAATTGGCTAAAGGAAATGAATTTTTCTGCTTCCAAAACGTCAAAATATTGTCATTTTTATTTGTTTTATGAGCGATGAATTTTATAAGTACATATTCACAACTTTCATCGGTAGATGTTAGGGCTTCATCAAAATAATCTAGAATATACTGTTTATTATGCAGGATGAATTAGAAAAGTATAAATGATATATGGCAGTGCCTTATGCATATCCAAATCATTTAGCATTTTTAACTTGTTTATGTTATCTGCTTTTTCATTGACTTTTAAAAACTTAAGACTGTGGAAATTTGGATTTAGAATTGAGCTTATCTTATGTAGTGGCTGCATAATAAATATTTCCTTTAAAAGAGATGTATCCTGTTCTTTAGGGTTTTGATTATTACACTATAACCTTCTGAAGGTTAATAAAATATCATTAATTTTTGTTTTCATGAATTAACTTCATTTATATGGTTTGAGAATCTGCGCTCAGACTATCTGAGCATTCTTTGAGATAAAAAATTATCTAACTGGCATGTGATATTTGTATCAATGTTCGCTAATCTATTCTTGTCTGTTAAGCAGGTAAACTTATACTTCATCATATGATTTTAAGTAACTTTGTATCATAATATATACATTGTTCCATCGTTATTATATCTTAATTGTTAGCTTGCTGTTTAATGTAGATTGCCCTCAAAAAATATTGCACTAGTTAAAGCTATTAATTATCAAAAATATAATGCATTATGTTATTTAATATATGGCTTGAATATGGTACCCCTTCATAATCTTTGAATGCAGTTATATTCATTACATTTGAAACTACATCATTTATAGGTAAATATGAGAAAATTTAAAAGTTAAGATGTTCAATTTCCCTTTTATTTTAACTGATTATAATTTGAGTGCAAGTGATTAGTATATAGTAAAGATAAATGAAAATAAACATATATAAATTAAATTTATTGCCGAATTTCCATTGCTGAACGAGAGTTGAGAGACTTTAAATTATTTTTCATTCAATTAAAATTTTATAAGACAGAGGGAAAAAATGTTGTTTATAAGCGTAATTTTTTTGTTTCCAAAAATTATTTATTTTTCAAAAAGAAAAAATTAGTAAATATATATTATAAATGAAAATTTATATTCATAAAAAAAACAATTTAAAAAATTAAAATTTCCGTGATTCATGGGAAAATTATGTTTACGCCCAATCACACCCGGCAAACATTTTGGGAAGGCCCATCACGCCTAATAATTTAAAATTTATTTTACTCACGCCGTGACACATCCTGTCACCCTCTATGGATATCAAAATAGTTATAAAATTATAATATTTTAGAGTTTTTAAAATAAAAATAAGGCCTCTATATTTTCTGGCAATAATATTCTACGATGCGGATATCTATTTCCCATGAAAATTCTCTTTATCTTTTGTAAAAATTATATCATAACTCAGATGCCATCTTAAAAAAATTTATAATAAAAAATAAAAGATCCTTTCTTAAAGTATAATAGCGAAATTGGCGAGTTATCATTTATAAAAAAAGAATCCGATATTTAATGTCGACACAGCCCTACTTATAAGTAGTTTGATATTTGCGCTACTACATTTTTATCTGATTTTATAACTTTGTATTTATTTTTTTATATTTTTTTTTGCACCAACCAACTTCACCTTGAATTTTGGTTAAATTTTTAATCAATGTTTGATAAAAAATTATCTAGAGATATTTGTTTTCATAAATTTTGTTCAAACAATTTATTATATGTATCTAGATCATTTATATTATAAAGAAAACCGATCTCCCACTTCCAGACTTGTTGAATAGAATCTAGTCATCTAAATAATTGAAATATATATATTGATTTATCATATACTCGGATTTTGGAGCAAGCTCTTTGTTCAGGAGAGTGCCTTAAAATATTGTCTTTAGAAAATCTCTTATGATTTTTTTAAAAATATTCATGTTTTTCCAAACTGAAAAATCGCGGGATATTTTTTTTCTTTTGGCTCTGATTCAGAACTATCTTACCCAAAGAACATATATTCAATGAATATAAGTTGCCAGAATTTTAGAGTTCTTTTGAATTATGATAACGAGCATCATGTCTGCTATCATCAGAAGCAAGATACATTTTACATTTGACAATTTTTTGAAAGGAAGTCTTCCTACAATGATTGGGCATTTAATTTAAAAAAGTCACGAAGCCGTAAAATTAGGTGATTATAGGTAGAACCATTAATTATAATATTATTCTGGATGGTTTGTTGTGGAAATGTAAATATTTAAAAATACATAGTAATCACGAATTTGAGATGATATTTATGGAAAAGCGTAAAAGTTATTAACAAAATAAAAAGGAAAAAACTATTAGATGATATTCTTGGTGCTTCTAGTTCTAGTGTTAAAACTTGTATATTAAATATTATTGTATTTTTATATTAGATATATAATTTTAATATTACAGTAATTCCTGTATAAAATAATTACTCATGGGATTCATTTATATCCATTTTATAGAACTGTTTATTGCTTAGCACTGACGCTATCTACGTTAAGTAACCTCATTACATTTAGCGTTAATTTTCAAATAGCAATGTCGTTAGGTTTATGTTAATATAAAAAAATGCTCTACCTTTTTTTTACCGAAACCGTTACTATAAAAAAAAGATTGAAATTGTTTTCCTTTTATACCAATCGATATTTATTTATCGCACAATCCTTTCTATTTTCCACGATTCTGAACATCGCCATTAGTATATTCTTTTTATGCTTCTTTACCTCCTTCCCGGGATTTCATATATTATAACTGGTGGTTCTTTTAACATTTAGATATACTAATACAAACTTTTATTATACCGAAAATACATATTTCTCTTACTACTTATTCAGACAAGAATTTATATGATTTCCTTACTTTTTTTCATGGGTATGGTCAAGTAATAATAAAATGGTTGCTATATCAATAATGAAATGTATATAAATTTTTAATACTTAATAATAAAATTAAGTTAAAATAAAATGTTCCAAATCTCAACTCTTAGATAACATTCGCCAATTTATTTTAAAGATGATTCATCATATATTAGAATTACATCTGAAGTGATTATCTTGAGTTGTTGAAAATAATTGATTATCAAATGCAATCATTTTTGAAATACATATATTAATTTATTTAATAGATCTGTTATTAATTCATCATTGTTTTGAAAATTTTAAGTTTTGATTTATTTGGATTTCGTTTATTTTCTTTATCTTATAACTCTTCAAATGATTTTTTTTCTGATACCTTACTGGATGTCATCGTAGATTAGCGGGTTTAATTATTTGTTTGTCGTCTCACCTCTTGGAATAAGTATTAAATCGCATACAATAAATTTCGTAAAATTTCCTTTTCGTTTCCTACCATAAAAAATATTAAGTACATTTTAATTTTCGAATCATAACTTCTACTTTATAATTATTTAATATAATTTAATTTAGTAAGTGCTTTGATTTCTTTTTATTGAACCATTAGTTCGGTTTATTAAAAAAGATCGGCCGTTCTGATATTTCCTTCAAAAGATCAATATCGACGTCCACCCGATGCCTATATTAAGAACGGTGCAGCCCTAGTAATATTTAAAAAAAGTATTTGATCAGAAAGAAGGGTCTGGCTCGTGTTGTTAAAAAGTCCGATTTGGATTGATTTTTAATAATGTCCCGATTATGATTTTAGTCAAAATAATATAATGTAATGTAAGCCTCGAAATTTGACAAATATGTATCCAAACCTTTCTGCCATCTATGAGCAGGATCTCCATTCTTACATGATATTATTTTAGCGAATATCTTAATCGAGCCATTTTTAAAAATCAATCGAAATCGGGTTTTTTAACAACACTAAACTTGACATATATATTACTATAAGAGTCAATATGTAGTGTTGTTAAGCGGCTCGATTTGAACCTATTTTTAAAAGCGGCTAATTCAATATTTTATTGAAAAAAATATTACGCACACGGAAGATTTTGCTCGAAAAAAAGTCGGTTAAAATATTGAATTAACCGTTTTTAAAAATCAGCACAAATTGAGTCGTTCAACAACACTAACAATATGGCAAAGGGAGGGATTAATGAACTCCTCTCTTGACAGTATATGCAAACAATTATGGGCATAATAATCCACGAGTAATTCGAATACAACATTATTTTATTATTTTTAGGAGCATGGCCCGTGCTAATAGATGAATTCGTTGACTATGCTAAACCGTTAATCGACGATTTCAAAAAAAACCCTAATAATAAACACATTAAACTAACATCGCCATGATTTTTTAAAAATAAATTCGTTTCCAAAACAAGGAAGAAATAATACATATTTTATATAATGCCTACCGCATCTCAGATGCCATTATATATACTTTTTAGAAATTACTTGTATACTATTATACCATATTGTAAGTGTACTATATCTCTCTTAGCGTATCATTTTAAAATTATGATTGAGAAATAAAATATCGGAGTTAAATATTTTAGTTTGGAACTATATTTTAAATAAATTAACATTGAAACTTGTGATTCATGATAACTCGATGATAAATATAACTATTTTGTGGACAATGGATACTAAGTCTATATGTAATTATTTTTAATGGACTATCGCAAATATTCCATAAATACACGATGCTTTTGTACCTTGTATCTTTTGGGCTTATAAAGTATCTTGTATTTGTATCGTAAATACTTTAAAAATGAGTGTCTATATTTTTAACTATTTATTACGCAAAAGATACAGATACTTTTAATTTTTCATCATTGTTTGATATATTTAAACCTTTATAAAAAGTCAATAATTAAATTTAAATTCGAGTAAACTATTAACCATTTTTAAAGAAAATCCCTATCAATAATTATTAACATCCTAATGATATCTTCCTTAAACAATAATTTATTTAAATATTTTTATGGTAATATTTAATTATTTAATAAATATATAATATAAATGGATCCCAATAAATGTTTAAGTTTCTTTTGCTTCAATACAACACCAATAATAGCCTATAAGATAATTTCGAAGAATATATTAAAGCAATGTGTCCCTTAGCAATAGTTATTCATAAGATGCAAAGCTAAAATTATTCTTATCATGGGGATTTGATCCCAGTTTTATTTGCTAATTTTAATTATGAATATAAAATGCCCTTTTTAGCCAACATTTCAATCCTAATTTAAATTAGATGGGTTGATAATTATAATAAAAAAAATATTTGCATAATGTTACTCAACTAAGCACGTGCTATTTTTTAAGGATGAGGGTAATGCATTTGACCAACCTACAAATTCATCCTCTTTTATTGAAGAGGATGATTATTTTGTTTTGATAATAAACCTTCTAAAAATAATGAGACTAATGAAATTACAAAAATATTAAAGTGGATTGTCTAACTTACATAAATATAAGCACATTTAAGAATTTTTTCTAAAAAGTATATTATTATTTTGCCCTTTTTAGCCCCAGTTAAACAGCTTTTAACTTTGTGCAAATCTTGTTAATAGGCATAGATTGTCAGATAAATTATCTGAAAAATTAAATATATTAAAAAATAATATTTATAAAATTCTAGGTATTTTTTTAGACGATCTAATAAATTAATTTTATGAAATAAATAAATAAATATTTTTAATATATAATCATAATTGTAATATGCTACATTATTCACCTTATACTAAAATATATTAAGTGTATTAAGTGAAATGAATATAAATAAAGTGTTTTGTTTAACTACATTATGTCATAATTTTTTAACACAATGCTCAAAAATATTTTTACATATTAATATTTCAAAGTATCTATTTTAAAAATTTGTATCTTATCCTTTCCCAATTTTTTTTACAAGTACCTATATCTTGTATCTTATTGTAATTTTTGAAAAAGTATTTTGCATCTATATCTTTAATACTTTTATTTAAAGAGTATTTATATCCTTATCTAGATACTTTAAAAAAATTTTTGCCATCCCTGGATATAATTACGTTGTTACATCTGCTGGATAAGACTAATAAAATATTTTTTTAAATATAAATATTGAACAGTATATAAAAACAGGCAAATTAGAGTTGACTTATTTTTTTAGGCCTACAAAAATAAGAATCAAATAATTTTATTTGTGGTAGGTCATTGAAACGCGGGGAAATTTTATCTTGTAATTTATTATTTTTTTTATTTTATAAAAAAACACTTGATATTTCAAAATTATTTTATAAAAAAAATTTAAATTAAATTATCTAAATTTTAACGAGATTATAATATCTGATACAAGAACTGTGGCATTATTGAAAAATTATGCTTACCTTATCTATTAAACATGTTGCTATAATAGTATGGAAAGGATGAAAAATGTATCATTTTATAGTGAGAAATGCTCATTGTTTAAAGAGCTATTCTCGATGGAAAAGTTTACAATTTTTCCTAGCAAATCTTATTAAGACACCATTATTCGAAATTTTATCGATCCAAATGACTAATTTATACATACTCAGCGAATTGAGCTTGTATGATGGAATCTATAGGCTAAAATTTCACGATCGGGAAAACAATTATGTCAATTGTATATTCGTGAATATTGCTATTTTAGAAATATTAGAATAAAAAATACGAAATATATGACAATTTTTACTTATCCTTAAAATTTCATTTTGAATTTTACTTGAATATTTCATATTTAATTAAATAAATTGCTTAATATCTAATATTTACTCATTCATGAGTTATTAATTTTTCAATGACATAAATTAAAAAAGTTCTTAAAATTTTATGACAATTTTTGGTTTTTTTTAAAATTATATTTTAAATTTATTTATATTTATAATTGTTTAATTTCATGTTTACTCAAATAAATAAAAAATCATGTGTTTATTTATTTTTACATTAAAAATATGAAAAAATTTCCCGGTTATTCAATGTCTTACCTTTAATTGTATTATTTATATTCATACGAATCAAATAATTTTTTATCCATATGAATAATTAAACCATTTTTCGATTCGAAACTATTTTTGAAAGTGAAAAAATGAATTATTAATTTTAAAAAAAATTTTGAGAAAAAAAGATAAAGTTTCACGATAAACTTGCTGGATACTTGCTAATAATTTTGAATAATATGAATAATTTCTATTAATTTGATCGAATAATGGAAACATAAAAGACTCGATTTAGCCTATTTTAAATTAAGATTTTAGCCAAAATAATATGCAATAATCGAGATTTCGTGAATAGATTCAACCTTTGTGCCTTATGAGCAAAGTCTTCAGGCTTGCGTAATATTTCTGGGCCAAAATATTGGGTTATCCGTTTTCAAAAATCGAACCATTTGATCATACCATATTTGACGAATAATTCTTTCATTATTCTCTTATTTGTATTCGTAAAAACAAATCAAATATGAATAATTCGTTTCAGGTCATTTGTGAGCGAGCCGCACATATTTGTAAACACAATAGTCCAAAGAACTGTCATTTAAACGTCTATAGGCTCTGAGATTAAAATAGTTGGGAAAAGAGAAAGCCGGATTCAGGTATAAATAGGATTAGCATCTTTACTTTATGTTATCACTGAAAAATTTAAATACTATAATTAACATATATATTATAAATATATAGTTAGAAATATTAATATAAATCAGTGACGAAGCGTCAAGTTTACTACTATGGAAGCAATCAAAAAAAATTTTTATTTAATAGTCAAATCATAAAAAAATTTAAGATTTATAAATAAGTGGAATTCGTCTTTGTTTATGTGTAAAATGATCAATTACTGCATTATAAAAGTTATTGCTATATTTTATAAAAATTTTTCAATCGAAAGTAAAGATAGATTCGATAATCGATTTTGACTCATCCTGTTTATGCAATAAGATTTGATTCTTTTTAAAAATGAAAAACCCCGTTCTGCACTTGCTATTGTTGAAGCCAATGAAGATGAATTTGCATAATTTAAAAAACTCTTTAAAACTTTTTATCAAATCGGTACATATTAAAAATTCAATTATTTCATTAACATTCTTTTTCTTTCTAAATTCATCGTCCGAAACACTACCTTTAATTCGGTTTCCAGCTTGTGCAATAGAAAAATTGAGAAAAAGTGTTATTTAAATTGTCTAATAAATATTTTGAGAAATTTTGATTAAATAGGAATTTACTAACAATTCGACGAATTTGATATTTTTTAATGTATCTAACCGAAAATCAATTTCATTGATTATATTAACTGTTATTTTAATTATCAAATTTTTATAAAATTCTTTTGTATTGGGCTCTTCAATATTTTCTTTTAAATTTCTCCAAAAAACATAGTTTTCTATGTTTGATTTAACTGAATTTCTTAAATCGTTAATACTTTTAAGACAATAAGCTATATCGTTAATTTTAGTTTGAAGTATATAGAAGAATGCCCCTTACTCTCAACCCTTCCCTCTAAAAATATAACTTAACAATCCAAAACAATCCTTTTCTAATAATTAAATAAATACCGACAAGAGACATTACCAACTAGAAATAGTCCAAGTTCCCATATAGTTTAAAAGTGCAATTTATTCACACAAATATCTAGCCAATTTATTCATACAAATATGATCAATCCCGCTTCATCCAATATAAATATCTAAAAATATGATCCATCCCGGCTTCATCCACTATAATGTTTTCTTCACTCCAAACCGCACACCAAGAAACTTCCATTGTTCTTTACCAAAAATCCATGTATTGATTTCGTTTCACTCCCATCCACAAGGAAACACTAATTCCCCTGTTAGAAAATAACTGACATTTGATATATTATATTAAATTTATTTCTTCTTTTTTTCAACAGCTACAACAAAGTATATCAAATAATAAATCAAATTCTGGAAAAATCTTCAAAAAGATATATTAAAATTAGAAAATTTGCACTAATTAATATATTTAAATAGCCACGAGATGTTATTAGAACATCATTATCGCAAACAATATCAGATTCTCCATCAATCATACTTTAAAAAAAACTACTAAATTCTTCAAATAATTGAAAACTGTTTGAACCAGCCGACCATTCTATACCCATCTCGTTGTGGCTACTCGTGGTAATCTTTTTCTGACATATTTATCAAATTCCGCTGTTCGCTTAGATGATGTACTAAAAAAACTGGCTAAATCAGATAAAGTTGCAAAAAAACCTTACATTCTTTAATTTTGCTGTATTAATTTGATAATATAAGATTTAACTTATGGGCAAAGCAATGAATAAAAAGTGCTGAAAGATTGATGTCTCTTATTTCGCTTGTAGTTTATGTGAATCTCCTGACATAACAGCTACGCCATCGTAACATTGAACTATTAATTTTTTCAAAATTTTTTTATCATTCAAGAATTTAATGTCAAATTTTGATAAAGAATTAGCATCTCGATGCATAGTAACATCAAAGATTTAAATAAATCTTTCATACAATGTCCCGTTATTTAAAACATATCGAAGAACAGCCAGTTGAGATTTATTATTGTTATCTGATGTTTCATGTA